ATTCTCCTTTTTTTTTCTTTCTTTCCTTCCTCCTTTCCTTTTCTTCTTTTTTTTCTCTTTCTTTACCTCTCACCCTTTTTCCCTCGTTTCCTCCTTATGCACTTGTTCGGTGCTAACATCTGACGGGGTGTGCCGCAAGCGCTTCGTCCACGGAAAACTGCAATCGCGTGTAGCGGAGACGCATAGACGGATTCGCATTTGATCGCGCTCGATCAATCGCAAAGTCACTAGCTGCGACTGCTAAATATACCGACTTACGTGTTTTCCGACTAGTAAACGGAATTTCTGTCATTTTTCGCGTTTTGTTTCGAGCCGCGTTCGCGACGGGGACGAGCCGACGGATTCGCGGAATGATTCGTTTCTGAGAGAAATTTCCCACGTAGCAGTAAGTATCTTTCTTTGTTTCGACTGGTTCGCGTGAATAATCGCTCGACGACACAGGGATCCGTTCGTTTGTTGCGTCGGAACGTCGCGTCTCCTACGGGAAAGTTAACCTATAATGTTTTTTCAGAAACAACCGATTCGTTGCGTCGTTGATTGCTGGTTTCCGGAAAATGTCTTGGTTATTCGGATGGAAGAAACACCAAAAGGGTTCCCCGCAGGAATCCACGGAGGAGACGAAAGGTTCGGACAGGAACGAGGATTACGTTTTCGTTGACGATGCGCCAGCGTCGTTACCGACTCATCCGTATGCTCGGAACGCACCGGGATACCCTACTGAAAATTTGTATCCGCTGGTTCCACCCGTTTCAGAGTATTCTTCCCTGTCGATTGACACTGCTAGCAATCAAGGGGAGAGTAGTCGGTATCTGAACGACATACCGTTTAAATTGTGCAAGCAACTAGAAATTATTGAGAATAACGATTTTGAGGTAGACAGACTGAGGGTCGGTGAGATCTTATCCTTTATAGAGCGAATAGAAAACGACGACTATAGTTATAATTTCTCTGTGGAAGAAAGCGTCGTAGCAGAGATGAACAGCGGAAACGATCAGTGACAACTTTGCACGGAGAAATGTTAAATCTCAGTAAATTCTCTTTGTTGGCTTCGTCTTGAAGAGCAGGAATGTGAGCTTCTCGAACAAGGAAATAAAAACGTCGCGTGCAGCCTGTACTAGGATGAACGAACGTTTATTCCACTTTATGAGAAATGGACAGAATGTCGTGCACCTGCACAGTAGAGTATCGATTTGCAGGTAACCTTAAGCTTACGTTGTATCGTGTGACTTATTGTTGTATGTACATATATCTGTAAAATAATGTAATTCTAATAATAGATCCGGGAGATTTGAATAAATCGACCGCAATTGTTTAAACTTCTGTCGAAATTAGTAGCTGTCATTTTGCTCAATGTGCTCTTACAAAATATTTTTTGTGAAATCTCTGAGTTACCATACGTATAGGGAAATGACGGTGACGATAGCGACGATCAGACAAAACGGCATCCAGGTCTTCAAGAATGCTAAAAAACTGAAGAAAGACATTTCAGTGGAAGGTAAACGGAACGTTCATGGGACGCGTCGGTTCTTACCTTACGTACTTCCCATACAAAAGCATCAGGAACGCTAGCTTTATCATGTTCCAACTGTTGGAATCACCGTACGACATTAGATTCAATGCCGTAGCTACATGAGAATGACAATTGTCGCAACATAGATTGTGCTGTGGAGGATGGAAACGTTTACGTATAGCGAATCGCGAATCGGTTGGGGTCAAATTTTGTCGGGAGGGTACCGCTCCCGTGAAACACTGACCATTCTCGTTTTATAAATTTCACTGGCCTCGGCCACGGCAGCATCCCATCCTCGAATGCCCCCTTTCGCCTTGGCGTAGTTCAACTGCCAATATTTCGTGGGATTCCCAAACGCCATGTTATCTTCGGAGACATGGTAAGGGCCCGCGAAATCCCTGATCACGCCGGCAGAGGTGGCAATGCCCATGTGACCGATAAATGGTAAAAAGTACCTAGCATCGAGATGAGATATTCGTTAGAAAAACGTCACCACGCGATTTTGGCCGAATTTCGAATCCAGCGGTAACGAGGAAAAATACGATCGCATTGTAAATGACGGTAGGATCATCGGAGACGAATTACCTCTGGTATTTACTCACGTTAGGATTGGCAGTGGAGTCCAAACTATGCAGAATGGGAATCTTTGTCTGTTCGGATCTACGATAAGCTCCATGTTCGACGCATCGTCCGGAAAATGTTGCTCGTCACTCGAGAATTCTGACTCGTTCATAGCTTGCACGGACGTAAGATGCGTACAGACGTTGCAGCTCATGGAAATTTTTGTCAGCTGGAGACCTCCGCAGCATTTCGGTGTCGCGCTCGATGTTACCGATGATTTTTACCTCCCTAAATGTAGAGGGCGGAGCGAAACTGATTTTTTACGCGGTCGGTAATTACGAGCATGTGACAGGAAGTCCCGTAAGTTGCAGTGTCTAGCCGTAAACCATGTCTGTGGTAACAGATTGAGTAAGGGCATGTCTCGAGGATTCTTTTAAAATTTGTAATTATAATTGTATATTTCTAGTAGAATTAGTCGACTTATGGATATGTTGATTATAATCATTTTTTTCTATTTTCTTTTTCTTACTGTTTATCATATATATATATATATATATATATATTGTATAGATTTTAGATACTTATAAATGTCTCAATATTTTCTACACATTTAAGATATATTAATTGTTTCCTTGAATACTTTGGGATTTTGGCAGACGAAATAGATATTCGTTCTTTGTAAATTTATTGAAAAGCTAAAATATTTCTGAAAATACGGATGCGTCAACAATTGGTTCACACCATATTCTTCATTTTCTGTTAAAAAAAATTAAATACTAATTGTCGAATAATACTGATTCAGAGAACTGGTGTACATTTTGATACCACAGACGTACACTCTTATTCCTATTTAAGTCTCCTTCCCTTGTAGATACAAAAATGACATAATACAAATAATTAAGAGTTTTCAATATAATACCATAGATTGATAATCATTTCCTTTCGATACTTTCAAATGAAATAATTGCATCTTTAATTGCAATATAGCATGTTCATGAAGGTGTATGTTAAAATAATTGGTTCTACTCGTATATAATTTCTTAGATTCTTTTCATTAATAAAGTTCTGTCTTGGTTACAATCTAAAATATTAAATATTTTACTCAATTATATAAGCAAGGTCAAAAACTTAACAAACATTTTACAGTGTTTTGTTTAAAATGAGTAATAATTATATTAATATTAATAATAATAATAATATAATAATAATAATTAATAATAATAATAATAATAATAATAATAATATTACGCATATCGCCAACAAAATTTATATAATGTACAACTTGTAGATATACATATAAATTAACATCTGTTCCTCAAATAAATGATTTCTGCGTTTGGCACGATGTCATGTAATCGAAGCAAATTAAACACCATATTATATTTTGATTGTCCGTGGCTAGTTGCGAGATAGAATAAAGTATGGTTTGCTTCGCACAATTAATTTCTTGGTGTTTTATTCGTCGATGGTTTCATTGAATGCATATTAGTCGGCCGTCCTTTTTGTAAGGATTTTAAACGTTACGTTAATTAATGATTTGCATGCATTACAAGATCGCGCAAAAGAAATTTGACATTTCTGTCGCGGTACACTCTATAAGTAATACTCTGTAAAAAATACTCGACGTCGAGTGAGCCTATCTTGTACAATTACTGTCTTACAATTGTTTCTTCTTGTACTTATATTGCTATGGTGCAAACGCGTGACATTATATTGTTTCATAAATAAATATTTTTCTTTCCTGAGGATCGGCCGACCAGAGTATTTTGCCCAATGTCAGGATTTACTGGTGTATTGCTTTTTATCTTGCACCGCTAATCGATTACTCTAATTTGTAATTGATCGATTAGTTAAATTACTATTATTATAAATGGCATCCCACCCCCTAATTGATTACATTAGAATAAACTACATGGAAGAACAGATCTTCAGTCGTAGCAAATAAAAGCTAGACTAAAAATTTCAACAAATAGTGAAAACTGTGATATTACTTTCATAATGTATATATATATAAATATATATATATATATACATATACATATATATATATACATATAAATATATATATACATATATATAAAATATATATACATATGTATATATAATATATTACTAATTTAAAGATGCCAGTTTCTCTATCTAGATTAGAATGTTAAGGTGTCAGCAAGAATGCCAATTCAATAATATCAGAAAGTGCGAGAACACCTTTTCTTTTCTTTCCTTCTTCATTTTTTTTTCTAAACAAAACTTATAAAGCTCTAAAAACATCTGTTTCACCAAAAGTATAACAACAACAACAAGGCATGTTTAGTTTTGCAATAATATCACAGACAATAGAAAACGTAAAGTCTACAAAAACTGGTCTTGCTTTGTGTGTGTATACAAATTTTCAAAAAAGAAAACTGCTCAAAATTTCAGAGCGAGTGCTTCTAAAGGATACAAATATACAATGTATAAGTTAAATACAATAATTTTACATTACACAAAGAATGTACATTCGTCTCAAAAATTGAAGTTATTTCATTGTATTATATGTATATATATATATATAATTATATATATACACACACAAAATGTATATATATATATATATATATACATATACATATACATAACATGGCATTCTTCCTTGCACCCTTATCTTGGATTTTCATTTTGTAACTGACCAGCTACAATCACGTAAAAAGATGTGGCAGCGCGCCCTGTCAATATTTGTCCTTTAAATTCATTGTCATACTAAATTACAGAACCTTTTACGTTAACAAACTTTCTAAAGATGTGTTACGTTTTCTG